GGAAAAAGGAAAAGGGAAAGCTCAGGCCACTGCACCCAAAGCCAGGCCAACCCCTGAGATTTTTCTGGATGCTGCAGCTCTTGGGACACTCCTGGCTGAGCAGGACAACCAGCAATCCAACCCCATTTCCCCATTTTCCCCCCATTTTTTCCCCCCATCTCTCACCTCTTTTCCTGCCGTGTGGCAGCTGCAGCTTGGCCAGTTTCAGCATGGCCTGGCTGCAGCTTGATGCCGAATTTTTGGCAGCAGGGTTGAGTTTTTTCCTGGCTGCCTCCCTGCTCCTGCTGCCCCCCACTGCTGCCCTGGGGGCTGGGGGGCTCCTGCTGCTTTTCCTCCTGCTGTCCCTGCCCCACGGCTTGGTGGGAGAGGTGACACTTTTGGTGAAGCTCTCAGGAGGAGGATTTGGGATGGAGGAAGAGGAAGAGGAGGAGGAGGAAGAGGAAATTCCCAAATTGTTGCCTGTGAGACACTGCAGGGCCGCTGGGATGGCCAAGGTGTAAGAGCTGGGCTGGGCCAGGTAACGACGTAGCTGGGCCAGGGATGGCCCCAGGAATTTTTGGGATGGTTGAATCCCTTCATCCTGGCATGGAACGGGAACGTTGTGGGGTTGGGATTTTTGCTGGCTTTTGGAATATTCCCGGAGGTGTTCCTGGATTGCTGTGTTATCCCAGGAGGAATTGGCTGCTTTCCTCAAAGCATAGCGGAGCCCAGGCAGCACTGAGGTGATTTTTAAGGAGATGTCACTCCTGGAAGTGAATTCCTTGCCAGCCTTGGGATTCTTTGAAGCTAAGAAAGGAAAAGAATGATTAGTTTTTAACTTAATTAGGAAAGGATTTTATTCCCTAAATCGCTTTCGTGGTGCAGGTAAAGGGAAATATTGGAAGTAAAAACGTGGAAAAATCAGAGGGCAGGAATTTCCTGGGGGGAAACAGGAAACAAAGGAGGAACAAAGAATTCCATGTGGGAGTCAAAAAAGTGATTGAAATGAAAATGAAAAACTGGAGTTGTATCAGCCAGCCCCATCCTGCAGGAATTCCAGCTCTGACATCATTCCCTGCAGCAATTCCCACAAAATCCAGCACCCAGGAGCTCTGGAAACACCCAGGATTTGGGATTTTCTATTTTTAAATCTGCTTAAATGTAGGGTGTTGGCAATAATTACAAATTCCTTGTGTGATATCCTTGATTGGATCCCATCAAACATCCCAAACCTGTCCCAAATGGATCCCAGAAAAATCCCAAACCTGCCCCAAATGGATCCATAAAAATCCCAAACCTGCCCCTGATGGATCCCAGAAAAATCCCAAACCAGCCCCAAATGGATCCCAGAAAAATCCCAAACCAGCCCCAAATGGATCCCAAACATCCCAAACCAGCCCCAAATGGATCCATAAAAATCCCAAACCAGCCCCAAATGGATCCCAGAAAAATCCCAAACCTGCCCCAAATGGATCCAGAAAAATCCCAAACCTGCCCCAAATGGATCCTATCAAACATCCCAAACCTGTCCCAAATGGATCCATAAAAATCCCAAACCAGCCCCAAATGGATCCCCAATAAAAATCCCAAACCTGCCCCAAATGGATCCCAAACAACATCCCAAACCTGTCCCAAATGGATCCCAGAAAAATCCCAAACCAGCCCCAAATGGATCCCAGAAAAATCCCAAACCTGCCCCAAATGGATCCCAGAAAAATCCCAAACCTGCCCCAAATGGATC